TATTAATTTGCACAAGTATAATAGATGAACCCTTGGCCATAACAACCTACTCCCTTGGTATATATCAAATTTCGACAAGTTGGGGGGGCCAAGGCTCCCCTTGAACTACTCCTAGGTCCGCCTCATCATGGTAAAGGCATAAAGGTAGAAATAAGTTAGGTTAAATTAGGCTTTAATTAAATAGGCTTGAACCTATATAGTAAATCAAAAGTTTGAGACTACTATGAAACTTGTATAAGACTTTTTTCACAGCTCAAGCCTAAGCCTAATTAAAGCCTTGCCTGACCTAAAAACCTATTTAAAAGCCTACTTAAAACAATCATTTTAAATAAGCTTGTATTTTAGTTTTAAGCATTTCAAATATACTTTAAAATTATTATAGTGTATAATATATAACCTAATTTATCAATTACAATATATAATAATTGAAAAGAGTTACCAATTATAATACAATATAACAATAAAGTAACAACATTAAGATTAATATATAAATTCAATATGATTGAAAATATAATTAAAAATAAAAAAATAGATTGATTAAAAATCAAATGATGAAATTGATATGTTTATGATATATTACATTACACACACACACAATGTGTGTAAATAGGTCAGTTTGTTAGATTTATAGGGTGGGCTTTGAAAAGATAAGTTTAGCCTATTTAATTAAATAAGCCTGATTAAAGGCCTGAATTTGACTTACATCTATTTAACAAATAGGTTATATTGGGTTTAAAGTAGGCCAAGACTGTCATATAACCACCCCTACATAGGCATATTCGACATAAGAGGTGTTCACGGGAGGTTCGGGTGTGAAGAACTGAGAGTGTTTAGATGGAGAGTGAACCATTAAAGATTACCATCGGGACAACGAGAATGGAGAGCCAGGTACAGAACGTGTTGCGTACAGTGAAGCAGAGAATGAGCATGAAAGATAAGCGATAGGGATAAGTGTTGGGAACGAGGAACGCGAGCTATGCATGCAATTCAAAGTGACATCGTCTGGAAGGGAGGGGACGAGATTTGGCGACAGCGGTTACGAGTCCGTAGCCGAGGACGATGACATTATTGGTGTCAGGAGTGTTGGCTTTGCTTCACGCGCATATTAGATTACTGAAACAAAGAGCAGATGCGATGGGTTTCCTTCTTCGTGCATGTCTTCTGCTTTGGGTTCGCCTTTTCAGAGCAAAAGAGGGGGGAGAGGAGAGGGAGAGGGAGAGAGAGAATTCCGGGGCTGACCTATAAGGGACGTTTACTTGAAATTAACCGTAGGGCCAAATTATCATGAGTGCCATTATTTGGATATTAAAATAAAATGTACCAAAAAAAGAATTTGGGATTCAAATTGCTTTTCAGTATATAATTGAGAGTTCAAGTTGTCACCTAACCCAAATTTAAATATAAATATAAAATATAACTTGTCAGTATAATGATCTAGAATGATAAATAAATGAGATAACTAGGGCAAACTGAAAGGACCAAATTAATGAAAATTATATTAATGGAGCTAAATTGATAACCGAAACAAATTGACAGTGCAAAGATCAAAATGATAAATAAATGAGATACCCTGTTTCAAGGTGAAAAGGAAGAGGTCCATTGAAGCCGGGAAGAAACTCTACTGTTGAACCAGACGCCACAAGTGGAGAGAAAATCTGCAAAAGGAGAACAAATAGAAGCAGTACGATCTGGCAATAAGCATAGAAGATAGATGCATTGTGATTTGAACTCAGCCTCGCCATTTTTTGTGACAAAAAGGCCTCTGTTTATCCAGTTGCCTCTTGAGCTTCTATACTACATATATGTATATCGGAGACATGAACAAGCCAGTAGTTCTAAATTCATTGCATATTTTAAATACACATGCTGTCTCCTTATTCTATAATTCATCGAATTAATTCCTCTGTCCTTTTTCTCTTTCATTTGGCATGCCAACAAATTAATTATTAATTAGTTTACTAATTCTTGTTAGGGAAATTGTTTTAGTAGAGAATCAGTGGTGTTATTACTTCCTTATTGTGCCCTTTCAAAATAAGTTATAATTAATTGGGTTAATTGCATGTGAGAGTATCAAAATCATATCAATGTTGGGATATTTTCAAAATGGAGAGATGTCTTTTGGAAAACTATGTCCTTATAAATTAAGAAGTTATGTCCTTAAATTAAATAATATTTTTATGAAAGGTTATATAGAGAGTTATAGTCACTAAAGTCATGTCTCTCTACTAAAGGCACATTTAAAAGGTTATAAAAAATAAAAGATGTCACTTGGTGAAAGGAAATGTATCTCAAGAAAACTATACATATTAAAAAGATGTTTATTTTCATCAAAAGTCATTATAATAACTCTTGGTTAATATTAATTATTAAACCATGAATCAACATATGGATGTTCATGAATCAACATAAAGTTGATTGGTTTTTATTACTTAAAAGGTACCACTTCAAGACATTATTTTAGTATCTATAAATATCCCTCACCATCATTCATTTGGGACATCTAAAAAAAAAAGGATCATTGATTGAAACTCATTGCCTTTATTTTTTGAGTGCACTAGGGATAAAATAAAATTATCACTTTGTAAAAATTATTGTTGTCTTAAGTGCAAACTATATTAAAGAGTCTTCATTCTATCCTGAAGAAACTTTGCCATCAACCCAATTTGCACTTGAAAACTGGAATAGGTGGAGGCAAATTAAGTATCATATTTAAAAATATAATATATTTTGAGTCTTTCAACATGTAATTACATGATAGTGTTTTCTCCAAAATATCCACAATTAGGGGATGTAATTAATAAAATTTTCTAATTAAAATACCCTATTAAATGAGGATAAACATAAAAAGAGTGGGCAATTTTAAAGATAACTAACTAACTCATTGAAAAAGCAATTATATTTTATTTAAAAATGTCTTATATTATTAAATGGAGCAAGTATATTTAATCACAACCAAACACGATGGAATTGCATTCCATCACAATCACGATGGAGTTGGTTCACTTCCCATCGAATCATCTCCTAGACATTTTAGTCCTCACCATCACCATCGTATCTACCTTCACACGCCCAACATCACTCTTGTCACCATCATCCCCTCCATGAATACATTGAGGGTAACATTGCCATTTTTTTTACTTAAGGATACCATACGCTCTTTATGCGATACTTCGAGTACAAATTCACACACTAACCCCTTTTTTATACCTTCACAACAGCAAACGTCATATATATGATTGGAGTAAGTTCTCCTTTATCTACATCAAATGTAAATAAATTTCTTGTAAGGGTAAATATCATTCATGGAATTATATATGCAGCCTTATAATCAACACATATATTATATACGGACATTCGATCCTATAATTCAATGAGACACACACGCATATATAAAATAATAAAAATAAATTCAATAAAATGAGAGATTTAAGTTAGAACCTTCCCAGCAATTTGGTCATTGACATGTGGTGTTGATATGAAAGGACATACCTTGTCATGATCGCCACGGCAAATAACAGAATTTCATTTATTAAGTTTCCTTTTAAAATAAGATTTAAGTTAGTTTCCTTTTATTTATAAAAAGTTTCGGTGATAATTCATCCAAATTAAAAATTAATTAAAATTAGTTAATATTGCCAATGTAAATTTAAGAACCAAACCAAATCAGATTACATGGTCAACCAGAGCCATTGATGGCTCAGTTTGAACTCAAAAATTGTTTTTATGGTTGAGTCGCCATTGAGTTGAAAATTGAAAAGATTTTTAGAAACCAGATGAGTCTAAATATAAAAAGGGTAATTTAAAAAAAAGAGAAAATTAAAAGGATTTTTGCACATATAGCCAATGTTATAAAATCAAACCAAACAAACAACTCAACATTTATTATATTTTACATTATGTTCGATTTATTATATTTGTCAATGATATACTGTTGTATATCAATGATAAACCCCTTGAAAGTTTTCAATTCAATGATAAACCTCTTGTATTAATTATAAATTTCTTATATATCAAAGATACATTTCTTATATATCAATATAAATCAGTCATATTCCCAAATTTTTAAAAATTTTATCCATATTTTTTGGGCACAAAATTTTTCTCGACTAGTGAGCCAATTTATCCAACTTTAAAATTAGACCATATTGAAAGTCAACTTCATTTTTGAACCTTTTATATTTATATAATATGATTCAAAACCATTTTTCTAAGAATTTGTTGACCATTATAACTTCAAATATTGATACTTTTGAACCTAACTCATGTCTAAGTTAACCAAGATTAATCTATATTTGATAAGTTATAAAATTATAATTTATAATATCATTGATTTATGGTTATATTGTGTTATTTTATTAACAAGACATAATGTGAATTTATTTCTTATACATACATAGATCTCTCATATGCATTTGATATTATTTTTACTTTAATTATTATGTTATATATCTCTCATATGCATTTGATATTATTTTTACTTTAATTATTATGTTATCAGTTTTACATCTTGTCTAGTTTTTAAAAGCCAAGACTCGCTAATCTTTTTGGTTTTACATCCTATCATGTTTTTAAAATATTGATTATTGCCCTTAAAATTATTAGTCTTTGGAAAAAAAATATTACTACCTTAAATAAAAGGAAGAAGGACAATAGAGTCCCAAAATAGAAAATTTACAATAATTAGGTCACCAACAAAATTTTCTGAAAAATAAGTTATAAATATCAATTTAAATAACTGCAAACAAAGATCTTAATTACAAATTGAGAGTTATATTTAGATTTTAAATGTATTTTTTGTAATTAAAACTTCTAAATTTGCAACTATCTGAATCAATATAGTCACAATTGATAGTGCAGAAAATCTTATCAGAGATCTAACAGTCATAAAATTATTGTTTTGGGACTTGAATGTCATTGTCCCTAAATACAATGAATTCTCAAAAACTCTTATTTTGTTTCACCAACCAAAAAATTTCTTATTTAAGATTATACATGCAAATAATATATATTTTCAAATATATATCTCTTCAATTTTATGAATACACACCCAAGATTTGATTTTTCTTCAAACAAATTTTACATCCTCGTGAGAGGTAATCCCGTGTTGATTAGAGAGGCTCATTAGATATCCACCTTTTGAGCATGGCAAGGCATTCGTCCGGTTTGAATTCTGGAGCTGTATGTCCTGCACCCTGCAATTATCGTAATTAAATTAGATGCATAAAATTTATTTTAACTGTAGTTATATTGTATGTTTTATTGAAAACGACAAAGTTACTTTTTTATTTTAATACCTTCATGGTTGCAAATGTCATGTGGTTGGAGTAAGTCCTTGTGTATCTGTTTCACAGATAAATAAATTGAAAACGTAAGAGCAAGTATTATTCTTAGAATTGTGTGTGTGTGTGTGTGGAATAAAAATGAATGCAATAATATGAGAGATTTAATTTAGAAATCTACCCAGCAACTTGGCCATTGACATGCCAAGGCCTCCAATCATCAACAACGGAGTAATTCAAAGATCTAATCCATGCTTGTGTTGCTGAGAAAGGACATACCATATCATGATCGCCACTGCAAACAGCACAATTTCATGCATTAAGTTTTTTTTTTTTTTGGGTTGAAAAGACAGAGATATCATTAATACGAAGTGTCCCAATGCAACTGTAGAAGAGAAAAAGGGAGAAAAAGGATAGAGTCGGAATATAGGCCAGCTCAAACTATATGAGTAACCTATACAAGTTGGAAGGTTATAGCCCATTTGATCCATAAGTTAGCTAATAGGGCCAGAAAAAATCAAATTTAATTTGAGTGAATTTTTTCAGCCCAACGTTATTCAGTTCGACCCATATAATATAATCTTAATCTTACTCATATCCCCAACTTTAAAAAAGAGGTTCTTCATGAGGGGGGAAAAAATCAAACAGATAGGTGGCAGACGGAGGAACTAAATCCTGAAAAGAACACGAAATGATAGGGATTGGGGGTTTGACAAGCCAACCTCGAACGGACAGTCCCTTTAACAAAATGCTTAGCTATTCAATCATTAGCTAAGTAACAAAAACAAGGTTCGCAACTCAGATCCACCACCACCATTGAAGCCAACAACTAAAACACAAGAAGAAGGTAGATCGTCATAATCTGCTATAAACTTTTCGCTAACTAAATTCCCCAAAAAGATGATAAAACTCCATAGCAACAAAGCAGCCAGCAAGTCCAAAGTTTATTTTCTGGAGGTACCCATCTCATGTCGTACGTCCTTTGGTCTTCGTCCACTAAGCCTCATTGGATCAACACAACCATGGTAAAAAACACACCACCAAAACACATATACCACCTGAACTCATGCATTATATAGCAAAGCCTATTTGATCTAATCTGTCTCGTGTCTCATGTCGAAAAATGAAAGGAATTGATTTTTTGTCTCAAAAATCATCTCCCCGTTCAGGATTGAGATGAGACTGGAACTTCTGGATAAAAGAGACAAAATGTGGAAAAGAGACCAAATAACAACATTTACTAAATTATGTAACTTGCTAAGTCCAAAACCAAAATAAAATAAGTACATACTGCAACTACAATTTAAAGTGAAAAAAAATACATGCTCTAGCTCTAACTGAATAGATAAAGTATTAAATATTAATAAAATAAAATAAAAATATAATAATATATTTGGATTGGGACAAAATGTTCTGATAGTGATCCTATGTCCCATTTCAAACATATTTTTGTTTTGTCCCACAAAGTCCCATCTTGTGTGTTTTCGAAGGTGGGATGAACTTGTTTTGGGATGAACTTGTCTCAACATAATTAGGACAAAACTAGCTCGAACAGGACACAGGCGTAACTAAAATAAACATATTATTCATTGAGTTTAGGTGATAATTTGTACAAATCAAGCAAATTAATGGAAATTAATTGTTGTTCTCAATTTTATTACATCCTTTTAAAGAATACTACTACCTTAAATACAATGAATTGTGACACAATCTTACTAATGTGTCTCAATCCCTCTCTACTATAATTACTCATTATTATCCATACCAACGGCAAAAAAATTTATCACTTGTTTCATGGAATTGACAATAATTTACAGATGGGACTATGAATAGATTTCATAAAGTGGCTTATAATTGAGAATAGAGAGCAATAGAAAACCCTAACCTGTATATCAAAGAACGATAACCCTTTGCGCTGAGATTTGCATGAATATAAAAGCTGCTATTAATTCCATATTTATAATTTATATCGCTATTACAACGCTTCCAACATCCTACGGTTCCCTGCAAACACATAAAGTCAGCCAAATGAAGACAATAAATGATTTCAATAGAACCTACATGGATTTCCTGCATTTACAAGAATGAATATATAATTATGAATAAATAACCTTTTATAAGAGATTATGGAAAAACTCAAGATATGGCTATGTGATTGCACCTTTCGAACATGGAGTGCTTTTCGAACGTGATCATTATTAGCCCAATATGTTTCTTGAGTATATCCTAGTCGCTATTACAGGGAAAATGAATGATGTTAAACAATATTAAATATGGAGAGGACCTATGTTAAACATTAATATTAATTAATGAGTAGCAAAAACATTATCATAGAATTAATAAGCGAGCTCTCACAAACGTACATTGTCTATGGATTGAAAAATTTCCTACTCCCCTTGATTTTTTTTTTAAAAAAGAAGCAGTCCTCAGTGAAAAATCAAAAGACACTTCAGTTTTTCTATGAAACCTATAAAATTCACTACGAGTATAATTGAAGGCGTAAAAGGATAAGTCATTTTCCTTAAACCTAACATGTCCAATAAAAATTAAAATAATTCCTTCTAGTCCAAATTATGGGGAAAAATACTTTCTCCTCATTTGTGATAATAAAATTTTTAGGTGTGCCAGAGACACAAAGTCTCAATATAAACAAGGTTACAAGCTTCTCTACCTCTGTTTGCCCATATGGAAAGGTGTAACAAATAATAACAAGAAAGTAGTTTGATTTGTCATATAAAGCTATAGAATTATAGAACTAAAAGAAGATTGAAAAGAGAAACTAAATCCTAAGTATAAGGTAATATAAAAAAAGTTGAGTAACAAAGTGTCCAAATTGTGTCCCGTTCGTCTTTAATTTGTTCCCTATTTATATTGTACATTTGAGGTTGTTATGTCTGCAAAACCAAGAGCCCTGATACTTTGAGCTAAAATATCTGCTCCTGCTAGGCATAGTCTCCCAAGATTCAAGGTACATCCAAGTAATGGTCACACATTCAAATAACGATCCCCCTAAACTTAGTCGCACCAAGTCTTAAGGGTCACGTTTCTTTGATGACTAAATACTTAATTACTTAGCCTGGGAGTTCTCCTTTTAAATGAATTGGACCTTGTCTTAGATGATGGCTTACTGGGCATGATGTCTCCTCTTTCATTTTTGAACTATTATCAAATGTCACTTCATTTTAGGCTCAAACACTCTCTATGCTTGATTCAAAATATAAGGCAAAAATGTAGTGTTTATATTTTCTCCCAGTCCTGCCACTCCTTTATTTATTGTTAGTCTTATTACGTTTTTGGGAATTGGGCATTTTGTTTTCGATGGCTTATTCTGCTAGACACTTTACTTCATTGGTGGCATTAATTTTGATGAAGCGCAAAATTAGAAGTCAAATGTTTTTCTACAAGTTTAAGGAAACTAATAACTACTAATCATTAAGAATCACAAAGTTGTTACCTTTGCTTTATACTACTCCTTCCGAAATATAATATAAATCATAGTTAATTAATATACATTTATAGAAAAAGGTTGATTAAAATCTTGTTTTCCTAAAAATTTGACTTATTTAAAACAACCTCATTAATTACTCAATGAAATAAGTGTATAATTGAAAAAAAATAGATATAACACATACCCAATGTCCAATATATTTGGACCAAGCAAATCTTCTAGAAAATAACTTATATTCATAGATAGAGAGAGAGATTTTTCGGTCTTGTTTATAAGTTACGTTTTTAATTTTTATCATAAATTTTTTCTTTTACCTTCGATTAAATGTTGGTGAAAGAAAGTATTTCCTCCATCCTAAATTATAAGAAACTTTTGAAAAAAAAAATTGGCATCCCAAAATATAAGACATTTTAATAAAAATAAGATTTTATTAATTATATTTTTCAATATTACCCTTCTCATATATCCTTTTTAATATTATTTCACTAATAGAGTATTAAATAAAGAGTATTTTTGAAAGTTCATAGTTTTTGTCTTAAAAAAATAAGGTTATAAAGTGTTTTTAATGAGATTTATTAGTACATATAATTCTATCTAAAAATGTCTTATAATTTAGAAAGAAGCGGTTATATGCTATTAAAGTATATATATTTAATAGGGACAAAATTAAAAATTTATTAAATTTTTAGACAAGATAAATGAGTTTTAAGATTTTTTTTTTCCAGTAAAGTATGTTGATAGTTACTTATATTCAAGACCGGATGAGTAACATATATATATATATATATATATAGATATATTTTCTCATATAGATTGTATTGGTGGAGAGGAACTATATTAATATGCAAAAGAGTTACCCGACATTTTGATGGAAAATTATTGGCCTTCACTTTCTGGGTTAGAGATCTCTTCATCAAGGAATTTCTTGGTGACAGCACACGCAGATTATCATAACCACAAAAGGCAGGTTCCAAAATCATAGCATGGTCGATTTCTGCTGTTAACTGGAAAGCCAAAGACACATTAAAGCATGAAAAATTATCGAATGAATTTTATTTTTTTTTAAAAAATTGTGAGAACAATCCATATTGGTTAATTACCTCTTGGAATAACTGGAAATCTCTGAGACATAACAAGTTCTTGGGGTCCATGTTTGCGTATTGTGCTTTACAATTTTTCTGTAATGACTGTTCTTGCAAAGCCAACAATCAAATTTATTGATTCGATAAATCATCACATGAACATACATACATGTTTTACCCCCCCCGAAAAAAAAAGGAGAAAACACACACACACACACTAACCAGGGCATTATGATATGAATTACCTCGTGAAGTTCATCAGAGATCAATCCCATTCCATGAGCAAATGTAATTTGATAGTTTACTTCAAGTCTTGTTGTTATCGGATTCCCAAGTATGTATCCCTATAATAAGACAAAACTTATGTCTCATAATCTCGATCCATTTTTGTGAAAAAAAAAAATGGAAATTTAACCTGGATATTTATCAAAGGCTGGACCCCATTTTCATTTCCTGCAATAATCATAGAATAATTCAACCATTAGATCTAGCATCCATGCCAACACATACTGTGTATGTGTCCATATATATGATCTGTCATGAGTGCAAATCTAAAGAGAAAGCTTATCCTAAAAGATTAGCCTATTAAGTAAGAAAGTCCCTCATACTTATAAATACCACTTTACAAGTAAGATTCCCTGTGTGAGATTCATAACAATGCTACCCCATTCACGAGTCAACATCCAGCTCTTACCAATTAGAATCCTCAATGAATAGTCCTTTTTGTGATGGCAGCTTCTCAATGAAAACACTAATATTATGAATATAAACTTAAAAGAAGAGCTCATCCCTTATTGGATGGAAGAATCTCTTACACCTATAAATCTCACTTCACTTGTGAGGTCATGAGTCCCACGTTGAGGAATCCAAGTTAATTAACACTCTCCATTTCAAAATAATTATGATTCCTTGGGTAATTTTCAAGAACACATTAAGTATATTTTAGTATTTTTACCCTTTATAAATGAGAAACATTTAATTTAAGTCATCACAATAGAAACGTACTTTAGCACTCCTCCATTAAAAAAATGAAAGATATTTTTAATTAAATGACAACCCCAATAAATTAGTTATTTGTCTTTATCCAATATTGTTTTTCCTGTTTGCCCTTATTTAATAGGATGTCTCATTTAAAGGTGAATAATTGAGTTGTTTGTTTATTAGGGGTATTTTTGAAAAAAAATCAATAATTGCACCTTTTTTTTGGCTAAACATCAATTACACATTGGAAAAATAAAATATCTTATATGTTTGAACATCTAATTTAAAAAATACCTTATATTTTTTAACAGAGAGCTATGAAGCACCAATATTTCAAATTATCTTATCGGTATCAATATCATATCCGATATCAATATTTGTCAATAATTCTACGATATATCTCCATATAGTATCAAAATATTATTTTTTTTAATTTTTGATACATATGTAATACTTCTAAATTGTAAGTTAATATTTTAAAGTTAATACTTTGAGACTATTTTAAAAAATTAAATTTTCTTAAATATTGCAATATTAATTTTTTCATTTCTAATATATTACTATAATTTGGTTTTAAAGTCAAAGATTAGATTTTCCTTAACAAAATAATTTTTAGATATAATAAAAGGATAAAATTATATTTTTAAATTATAAAAATGTAGGAATGTAATCTCTTGACATATAAACCTTAAGTATGGAACTATTAGCAGAGACTAGATGGTAGGCAATTAGATAGCAATAGAATAAAAAGTATAATTAATGGTTATGTTTTGATTGGTATTACTATAAAGAATTATATATGTATGCTAGGTTGTATATTTTTTAAATTAAAATTATATTTTTAATCTTTATATGATTTTTTTATAAATATACTTGCACACATCAGAAATGTATTGTATCCTATATTTTTTTAAAATAAAAGTATCAACTTATTGTGTATCAGTATCTATGCAACATAGACTGAGAGTAAAATATAATTGTATTTTGTATAATTATTTATGTTTAGACTATTTATTAGCTTTCTTAATTTATGTACACAACTTTTGAAGTGACAAGATTATTTTGGAACGGATGGAGGAACATATGGAAACTCAATTTGGTAGAGATCAAACACACAGTAAATAGTACAGAACAAATTATGAAGTGTTATCATACCATATGAAATTTCTTGAACGAAGGCTGGGATATGAATGCCAGCATAGGAGTCCCCACACACATACACCTTATGCGATAAGTATTCTGGATGATCCATTAGCCACTACAAAAATTAGTGCTTATCAGCATATGTTATAAAATAATTATTAAAGGATAAATTATGCTTCTTCCCTCTGTCCTAATTTGGATTTTCATTTTGTCCCTAGATATATATGTCATGTTTCATATTTTAAGATATAATTATTTCTTATTTTCAATACTGTATCTGTATTATGGAGAGCGTTAAGTAGTAATTAAGATTTAAAATAGTACGACAATCAATGCATAACAAAACTAGAAAGAAAATTCTTACATGATACATAGATTGCATTTTCCATGATATATATATATATATATATGTATATGTATATGTATATGTATTATTTCATAGGACAAGTAAATAGGATCGGAGAATTGACTTTCCTAAATTTTGTGGTACATGCTAATATTATGTAATCTTTGATTGAAATAATAAAAATTTATTAACATGAGTACATGACTTATAAATAAAACGAAAAAAATTAGTTTCTGTCTTTTTTTTAATAAATAGGACTAAAAAGAGTATCCCAATATTTTTTTATTTGTTAAACCCAAATTACACAGAGGACATTAATGGCAAAGTCTGTAATTTTTTGATTATATATAAATTTTTTTTGTAATTATAATATGGTAAGATTTATGTGCTTAGCCTTAGAGAAATTAGGAGAAATTCTTGTATGGATCTAGTGGACCTCATAATTCATACTCCATCTAATAAAAATATAATATTTAGATGATATTAAATATAAATTGATTATGCCATTAGGAATAAAAGAGAAAGGAAATGCCAAAAAAATTAAATAAGTATTTTATTGTAAGAATAAATTCATCAAAACTAATGACACATAAGATTTATTTTATTGAACCAGTACAATTTCATTGGATGGCGGAGCATGGATGACATAATGTACCAAGTCATTAGCCTTAATTATATACTTAATATATTTAATTATATCTAATCAAATCATGACAAGTGAATTTTAATGTGTTAATTAAATTAATAACAAGAATTTATTATAGAATAAATAATCTATAAAATATGCATGTATCTTAATTTAATTGGAAACTAGCACTACATAAATTAAAATTAAGTACATAATAAGTTTTCCGCTTTAGTATTTTAATGTGTACCCAGCTTAACTACCACCTCATCTCATCCTTATTATTACCTGAGCAAGCTGAGTCTCGAGTGGAATCCTTTGAACTATTCTAATAGATCATCACCAAATGAATTATTTGATTGGTAAGCTTTGATGATAACACGTTAAATAAAATAACTAAAAGCAGGTCATCATTGTTGACAATTAAAAAAAAATGAGTTAGGAAGAATGTACCTTTCTTAGAAACTGATAAGCATGGTGAGCTACAACCCAGTCACCTGATTGATTAGCAGCTTCTGTTTTGGCGTATGAGAACCCTGCTCCAACGGGCAAATCTGGAAAAATTATACTCGCTGCCTAATCAACCAAAAAATTTTAATTTAAAAAGCACCCCATTGAAAAATAAAAAAGATTGAAAGACATTTTGGCCCCTCAATTATTTCCTCATGAATGTCTGATATCCTAAATCCTTCTTTTTTTTTAACAATTTAATATGCTAAACTTATATTTGATACATGGGACACTCTGCCGTTAAAAATTAACTTTAATGGTTAGTTAACCTAGAAAATTACAAAAATGATTGCAATAATTATCGAAAAATACCCAAAAAATTACAGATAAAAACCATATAAAAAATTAATATCAATTAAGCCCTAAAATAAAGAAAACAAATATAATAATATTTAATTATTTATTGATATTGTTGCCAATGATTGTGATCCATTAATTACCCAATATCCTGATATTTAAATATAATTTAGGAGATTTAATTTGTATTAATTTTTTTAGAAAGTACTTATGAGTAATTTTTTTGGTCTTTTTATATAATTTTGAGATTACTTTTTGTAATTTTATAAATTAATTAATAGTCAAAGTTAACTTTTTAATAACAATCTTTGCACCATTTTTAAATATTGAAAGGAGAAATTGTACCACATATAATTTAAGACATCAAATGCTCTTAAACGAATAGTTGAGGAAAAAAATGTTTTTTAACCCAAAATAAAAAAATATGAAAAGATTATAAATAGGTCCTAACTAATAAATTAATCACTTTCTCAATTTTATTTACATGTCAAATTTGTGTATTTATTAGTTTTCTTTTTTTGTCAGATTTAAAAGTAGTTATAACTAAACTTAATTTGTCTATTGGAAACATATCACATTTTCAACATTTATATATTCTGGACGTGAATTAAAAAATATTTCACTTTTTGGTACAGATAAAATAAATACTTCTTCCATTAAAAAATATCTTTTAAAGAGTTAGATGTTTAAAAATGTATGATATTTTTAATTTTTTTAAATATAATCATTATTTTTAAAAAAATAATATCTCTATTAATGAATAACTTTATATTTATTATAAATATGTAATGGAGATAAATATAAAAAAATTAATTTAAAAATAAATGATTATTTTATTAAAAGTAATATTTAATTAAAAATATTTTATAATTTTAAACAGAAGAGTATGTTTTTAAATATTTGGACGATATACACGGGGTGTTGCCTTGGTGAGATAAGGACATGATTTCTGACGAGCGATAAATAAAAGTAATTAGCAATTTTATTTGAAAATAAATAAATATAAATATAATATGACCTTGGTCCATGATTGAGGCCTCAAGACTAGGCTAGGCAAGCTCCCATTGTACTCCTGGTCTACAAATGCAATTGGACCTACATTATTGATAAATGACACTTGTCACTGCTGATTCGATCTTGATTTCCAGAAACTAGAACTAATAATAGTTAAATATTTATAAACAGGAAAATTAATCAAATTACATGGATAAGTATTTAATTAATTAGTTTAGTTACGTTTAGTAGTTTACCTATTTCACTGGCAAGTCCCACAAATGAAGTGCATCCAGGACCACCAGAAAACCAAATCAAGAGTGGGTCTTCTTGAGGATTGTTCTCTGACTCTATAAAATAATAGAAAACCTCTACTTCTGATGATTCTCCCACTCCCACGTACCTGACAAAATATAATTAGTGATTAATTTAATTGTCAAACTTGAGCTAGAAATGGTCCTTTTTTTAATTTTTGGTTAATACAAGGCTACCGGTAAAAAATTCATGCAAAAAGACAATAGATCTAGCGAGTCATGTCATAATACACAAGGTTTTTACACTCAAGCAAAAAAAATATAAAATATTTTATTATCTAAACTATCACGCGTCACCTTATGAACAAGCTAATTGACATATTGATTTACTTCTTTACATATACGTTTGAACGTTAAAAACCTACTTTGCCTGCAAGTTTTGGCACCATCGTTCCACACAAACTGAAATTATTTACTTCCTCTATTTAGTATTACAAATCATTCTTAACTATTTTTATACTCTCGTAAATTAATTAATTAAGCAATTAATTGCTTTTACAATAACACATTTTTTATTTATCATTATCTAATAAATTTTCTCAATTAGTAAACTATTAATTACATCATAATTACTCCCTCTGTTCCTATATATAACGTATTTTTTAAAAGCTTATTTTATCCCTAAATATAAAAGGTAGCAATGATTTTTTGAATAATTAAATAATTTTGCCTTTCTCTTAAAAAATGAAATAGATCATTAAATGTATGTTTTTCCTACCACCATCATAATATTAATTATGATATTATTAGGGGTAAAATTAAAAAATTATTATTTTTTATGTGACTTCAACTAAATAACAAGCTTTTATTGGTATGCAAGATTCGATTAAAAATATTTTATATATAAGAATGGAGGGAGTATACCCTTATTAAATGTTATACATGAATGCCTTAATAATGTTTAAGTTTATTAACGGACTCATAACACACTCTAAATCTTTTACGTCGCTATTGGCACAATTGAATGATTTCAAAGTGTAGTAGAGTTAGAGGTTGGGGGGGGGGGGAGAGAGTTGTAGTATCAAAGGCACAATTAAATGATTTTTGTTTTATTATAAACTAAAAATTATAGTTTTCTTAAAATTATCTTAACACACAAACGTTATACACACACACACGCAAAATATCCAAATTACACTCTTGTACAAGTTAAAATCAATTATATACGTAAAATTATGGTTATTCAACTTTTTTAGACCACTATTCAACTTTTTTAATTTAACTTTTCAATTATACTTTTTTAATAAAATATCCAAAAATTATATTAACTCACAGATAATGTTTTTTGGTTCATAAATAATTTTGACATGATATAGAGATGTTTGAATTTTTTTAAAAAAGATAGTTTCATAATTGATTTTGGTATATATAATAAGTATTGGTATATTTTTTGAGAAACTGGTGTGTTTGGATTTCAGTTGGATAAAAATAATTAAAAATTTAATTAGCATGATTGATCTTAATTGTAATTGATTATATTATAATGTGATCATGTTTGAATTTATTTTCTAAAATTAATTTTGATAAAATTAAAGATGTCTAGATGATTTTAATCAAATTAATTTCATGTATTTAAATTATCAAAAATGAAATGAGTTTTATATTGTAAATATATTAATTTTTTATTTATTTAACAGATATATATTAATTATTTTGTGCAACTATTTAACACGCTATATAATCATCAACAATATAAATTTTATTATTAATAAAGTATATTAAACAAATCAACAGATACTATAGCAATATTAAAAAAGAAATTGATCAATACCCGCGAAACATAAAAGAGGGGGTAAGCATTTAAAATATAATATATATATATATATATATATATGTATGTATGTATGTATGTATGCACTCCCTCCGGTCCTATTTATAAGTCATTTCTACCAACCTCATCAATACCAATATAATAAAAGTATAAGGAATAAAAGTAAGTAAAATTTCAAACATGCCCCTATATAACAAATCTAAAAAGTAATGTCCCGTTACTTTTTCTCTCTCATGAAGGGTAATTTTAAAAACTTTTCAAATATTACCTAAAAAGACGATCGTGATTTATAAATGAGACCAAATACATCTTCTAAAATTGGACTTATAAATGGGACTGGAGGGAGTATGTATCTTTGAAAACTTATGCACAGATCCATATGCATATTCACGAGCGACAGCTTCAAATTTCTGACCACAATTAATGCCCTAACAAATATAATTGATATGCAAAAGCCAAAAAAACAACTCAGGGGGTGATGATGGAAAATATAGGGTCATATGAAAAATTAAATAAAAATGTTGACAATGAAAATTGTTACCAAAAAAAAAAAAGTAAATGATCCATGGCATTATGGCTTTTAAAAGTAAAAGTAGTATTTGCTTAGTTTTCTTGATGGAACGTTCGCATTCGCTGTTCATCAGCTCATCAGCCCAAATTAAAGCTGATTTGGGCTCTTCAATTTATTTTAAAAATGATCTGGTTCATTTTAAATTAAATTTAGCTATTTTTAATATTGAATTTCATTAAAATAAAAATAATAAAATTATTAAAAAATTAATATTAAATCTATACTATTCAGAACATATCTAAATAATTAAATTATAAAAAATATAAATTTTTTAATAATCAAAATTATAAAAATTTTAATATTAAATTAAATCATTCAAATTAAATTTGTACTGCCCAAATCATATTTGAATAATTAATTTGTAAAATTACTCATTTGTACTTGTTAGATTAATGATAAACATAATAAAAATAAAAATCTTTAAGCCTAAACAATCAAGATCTCATCAATGGTGATGAGTAATTTAGTGTTCATTTCCAAATGAGTACCGAAAACAGCTTAGAATTTAATATTAATTTTTTATAAATTTTTATTTTAATAAATATAATATTAAAAATATCTAAAAATTAATTTATAATTAACAGTAAAAATTGAAATAAATTGAAAGCTTAGATAAGCTTTTGGCTGATGAGCTTGATGAAGGCGGTTTGCCATGCATGTTTGGTTGATAGCCTCCCAATGGAAGACTACTATTTATGACCTTCCAAACACACAAGAAGGTTAACTTCTCTCACATTCTTTCTTTTCTTGGAACTCTTCTCTTTCTACAGACATGGAATCGTTTCGCCATAAACGACTTAAAATTTAAGCAGTTATAGAGTGTGTGTGTGTGTGTGTGTGTGTGTGTGTGTGTGTGTGTGTGTGAACAAGCTAATTGAGGTGCAAGAATAGGAGACGATGAGATACCCAGTTTGGAGTTGAAAGGGAAGGCGTCCATGGAAGCCTGGAAGAAACTCGAGAGTTGAACGGCAAGTAACAGGTTGAGGCCAAATCTGTGAAAGGAGAGCCCAGAGAAGCACCGTAATATTGATGTTGGAATACCCATAGAAGACAGAATCACTGTGTTTGGAGCTCACCCTCGCCATCGATATGTGTGTTTGCAGTTCTGATTCACTGCCTTTAAATATCTGCAGAATTGAATGAGAGTAGTTCGAGGTGGGGTCCCTCAAGGGGAATAAATATGTTCAAGGTCCAAAGTTTTTTGCAGGTCTAAGGTCTTTATATGGAATTAAATTTCTTGGCTCAATTACTAAATGCCATTGATTTATTAAAAAAAACTTACCCCCACCGCCACCGTCGAGGAATTCAAATGGTGATCAACTATACATGCCAAGGAATTAAAGGGTTTGAACCCATCATTCGTTGGTTGTCCAATCCCACTATTCAACCACCAAATCGTTTAAGATAAATATTATTCTTCTGCTTTTATTTATAAGGTACTTCTAACATATTTTATTATAATTAAAAAAAATTTAAAATTTATTAACTCTATTTAAAAATTTAATAATTTTTTAATTTTATCTCTATTAAATATATATATATATATTTTAACAATACATTTTCTCTTTTTAAAATTTAATGGAGGTCAAATGGAGTCATATATTGGTTGTCCAGTCCTATTATTCAACCACCAAATCATTTAAGATATGTATTACTCCTCTCGTCCTATTTACAAAATATTTTTAACATGTTTTATGATAACTAAAACAAACTTTAAAACTCATTAATTCTATCTAAAAATTTAATAATTTTTTAATTTTATCCCTGTTAAATATATATACTTTAATAATGTATTTTTTTTCTTCAACATTCAATGAAAGTTAAATAAAAAAATTAACAATAAAAATTTAATGAAATAATTTATAAATAAAACAAAAATAGGAGCAGAGAGAGTACTATTGTAAAGTAATATATATTATAAATTTCATTTTTAAGCACTTATATGAGTTGTTATTAACATTGGAACAATAACTTGTTAATATTTAAGAAATAAGTTGTCAATTTCTAAATACCAACTCGTTCAATTTTTAACAAGTTGTTCCTCAAATATATTGATAAGTCACAATTTATCAAGATTATGTTAAATAAACAAATACATATTATAAATTAAGTTCTATTGGTGGGAATTTAAACAAATTAAATAATTAATGTTGCATTTGTTGTGCCAACCTCCTCCACCTCCACAAAACTAACAGCCACATGTCCAACAACAAATGAGCCCCATGAGACTATCAAAAACTGATGATTGTGTGATATGTAATGTTAGGAGAAATTTGCTATATTTTTATTATTTTAAGGGTGAAAATATAACGGCAAAGAGTTTAGAATATTAAGTATTTCTGAAAGAATAATTTAAAGATAAAAATACACCTTAATTAAAAAAATACAAATAAATAATTAGATAAATTGATCCATTAGTAGAAAAAAGATCTTGTATATAAAAAATATGGATCAAATTTTTTAAAAATTTGAGAATATAGCTAATTCATATTGATATATAAGAGATTTATTATTTATATACAATGAATTTATTATTAAAAATTTAAAAATTTATAAAAAAAATTATTATTAATATATAATGATATATTATTAATAAATATAATAAATCAACAATCATGTAAAATATAATAAATTTTGGGGTGTTTAATTTGAACATTATACACAGTTTTAACTATGGAATATACTTAAGCATAGGAAAATGTGAAATTTAATTTCCTCTATCAAAAAATAAAATTAGAAATTTCCTATTACTGTCAGAACTTAGAAGAGGCTGGCTTTGAAACATTGACATTATGGCCGAATACGGATCATGCCCAGTGGGAAACCCTACAGTGGATGGGAAGTGAAAAATCTTGATCATGAATTTTTATCCAATGGTTAATAAAAATAAATGTATAAAATATTTTTTATTTACAAATGCACAATCACATTTTATCTAAAATAAAAATTTATAAAAAATGTAATATTTTTAATAAGTATGTAATAATTAATTTGGATAATATAGATTTTATTTGGATAGTCCAATTTAATATCATTTCTTATTTTTTATAAATTAACTATCTAAATATATTCTGGAGTCTGCATAGTGTATAGCTAATATTAAATTTTTTTATAATCCTTATAATTTTTTTATTTTGATAAATATAATATTAAAAATAAAGATAATATTTCTAGCACTTTCCAAAAAAATATTTTAAAAAAATTACAAGTTAAAATTTTAAATATGAATCAAAATAAAATCTAAACTGTTCAGAGCACATCTGGATAATCAACTTATAAAAAATAAGAAATTATAAATAGCTAAATTATCTAGATAAAATCTATACTCCCTCCGTTTAAAAATGTAAGACATTTTTAATTGAATCTCACCCTTCAATAAAGTAATTATCTATTTTTCAACTAATTCTATCTTTTTATATTTATTCCTATTAAACACTCTACAATAAATATAAATTATTATTAATAGGAGCACTTTTTAAAAAAAAAAGCAATGATTACACTTCGAAAGATTAAAAATATAGACATTCAACTTCTTAAAAAAATATTTTATATTTATAAACGGAATGAGTATTATCCAAGTAATTATTAACAGACTCATTAAAAATATTATATTGTTTATAAATTTTTATTTTAAATAAAACGTGATTTTGTATTTATAAATAAAAACTTTTTTATACAGCTATTTATTACTAATCATTAAATAAGAATTTATGGTTAAGATTTTTTACCTTGCATCCGCCACACGGTTTTTTCTACACATGATCCATATCCCATTATCGCCATATCTTCTTGATCGCAAATTGTCAGGATTGGGCAGACGTTGGCATTGATTATGGCCATAAAATCAATATAATATTTACCCATAATAATATATATCTAGAACTGGTGATTCAATTGAGCCAGGTAGGCTACTCCAAAAAAATTCGAAAAATTTTTAGAATCAAATTTGAACTCGAGCAAACCCAAATAAATTCAATTAAGTCTAAATCCGAATAGACTTAGCCCTAATACAAATTTTTTTATTATTAATAAAATAAAATTAACCTAGCTTTTACTTAGCATTCACAAACTGCCTCTGAGACCCATTGTTTGCACATTTCAAACTCCTACAAAATTCCAATGTCCTAATGACTGTTTGTTTTGAATAATTCTTAAAAATAATAAGGAAAAATAAATACAAGAGGTTACTTAATATGCTTTCATTTTTACTTTTCATTGTTTGGTCTTACTTTAATAAGGATAGAAAAAGGGTGTTGTAGCATTATGTTGCTTGAAAATTGAAATTTTGGCTTAAAAAAAAAAATAAAATAAAATAATATTTAACAATTGGGTATTTGGGACAATTCAAATAACCCGAAAAGCTTGAAATATTAAGGTTGAGTTTGACTATATAAGTTTTTTTTATATATTTAAGGTATTTTTTATCAAGCTTGACCTGAAGAAACCTTGGCTACCCAAATTATTGCCACTACGTGGAGAAAACTTACATACTTAATTTGATATATTTAATATATTTTTAAAATTAAATTAAATAAATTTAAAATGTTAAAAATATTAATAATAAGAGTTTTCCATAAATAAATAATATATAAAAATTTACATGTCTTCATTTAATTAGAAATAAAAATCGAGGAAGCCTTTGATTAATGGATTTAAATTTAAATTTAAAATTTAAAATTTTACATTAAAGTTTATGTATTCAAAATTTTTTGTTTGGATAGTACAGAAATTTTTAAAGATATGTAGAGAGACAAGCATTCAATATAGAAATAGAAAATTAGGAGTGACGAGCTTGCCTTTATTTCTTAATTAGTAAGAGATAAAGATGAGAGATGAGAGTAACAGAGACACTGATACTGACTATGTGAAGAGCATGAGAGAGTCAGAGTATAGAAATAACTAAGATCTATAAAGAATTTAAAATTATAAAAAAATTATAATAAAATATTGAGTTAAATTTATATCAAATTCAAATTTATAGACTTTTTTGTATCCAAATGGGGATTTGGTTCATATTCAAATTTAAATTCTCATATATCTAAATGCAACATTATATATATATATATAATTCTTTTGCATAACGCACAGTTGTGACTGATGACATTATGATAATTGGACAAACAAATTGTATGAGGTCCTAATTATGTTATGAATAGTGACAAATCCAAAACAAAGTCGGGAAAACGGATTACAATTGATAGGCTGCACCTTTAAACTCATTTTTATAAAAGGTTCGGTGTCAAAAAATCAAATATTGTTAGTATAATCAAGTTTCTGGGCCTAACCTGTAAAAACAGGCTTGAACAGCCCATTTATCTCCTTTTTTGTTTTACTCTTAACAAATAAAATGCTTTTATTTTTAAAGAGCATTAGAATCTTCTTACTCTAATTAATTGAATAAAAATATATTAAATATATAATGTTAAGTACTTAAGTTTTTTTCATTTTTAAATTAAATGTACACTTTAGAATATATTTTTAATTTTAAAAATTAAATTTATATTATTTATTTTTAATTTTTGAATATTATAATTTATATTTTAGAGAAAAAATATATAATATTATATATAAAAATTGATTTTTAAAAATTAAATGTTTAAAATAAAAAAGGGCTAATAGGCCGGCCTGAGCCTAATTAATAAGGGTCAAATTTAAAAAATGATTGATTTTATGGTTAATGGGCTTGTGTCTAAGGCCATAACGGCCGAGCTTATATGAGCTGAGCTTGCCCGTTTGTTGGTTCTAATCCAAAGATTAACTCACATGTGAAAGATTTTATGAAAGTAAGGTTGCCAAAATTAGTTTTATTATATTTTTTTAAGGAAAACTAGAGCCAAAAAATGGGTTGAGCTTATAAGGGGCCATCTTGTTTAAGTCTGTTTAAATGAAAAGCCAAACTTGCATTTTGGGTACATCAATGCTTAATCGACTTTAAATGAGTAGGGCTCAAAAATGAATGAGCTGGCCCTCTCAAGTTATGGGCTGGCCTATTTACATATTTTAAAAAATGATTAATTTTTAATAAATGAGGATGGAGAGAATTCAAATATAATGTTTACGAGCAAAATATCCTTGTTTATAACTAACCATTTCAAAATTAATCATCACCAACCCTCTTCTTGTTTTCTTATAGTA